AAAAACAGAAGTAAACAAGCAGGACAGACACAGACGCACATACAGCACACCAAGACCCTTTTCTTTAAAAGAAAAGCCCAGGTGAGGGACCAGCAGTTAGCGTAATGGCTATGTCGCTGGACTCCCACGTAGTCGACCGTGGTTTGTGTCCCGGACCTGGTGGCTTAAAACTCACGCCAGGCGCGTGTGCGTGCGTGCCCAAGATCCCGAGAGGAGAATGGAGGAGAAGAGACTTCGGTGTGGTCATGCTCCCTGGGGGGTGATTTCTCGCTTTCTGTCTCTCTGTCTCTCTCTGTCTGTCTGGCAAGTGCATGTGCCCTATAGCAAACACCTCTAAAAAAAAAAAAAAAAAGAAAGAAAAGAAAAGCCCAGGTGAGACTTTGGCCATCTGACCTCACCTCTCTGCTGTGCTGGTAAACACAGTGTCCCAACTGGTCTAAGGCCAGCTCTTGAAATATATACAAAGGTCAAAGACTCTATGTCACATAGGAGAGCCATGTGAACATCAAGAGTAAGCCTCAGAGACTAATATATGATACATGCCACCTCCCTGACCCTGGTCAGCCGCTATGCTTCCACGAAATGTTTGTGAACTGCAGCCCAAGCCACTTGCTTTACAAAGACGCCTTCAAGAAACTGGTGATCTTGCAATCTGAGGCAGAGATAAGCAGCCCACTCATTTGGATTTTTCCCTTTTATTTCTGAAATGAGATATTTTTAAGCGAAGCTCATAGTTATCTGATGTGGGTTTTAAGAACTTTCTGTCATCTTTTATACACTAGAAATGTGACTACCTCGGCTGCCCCACTATGATTATGACAGAGAATTTACAATTTGGTTCTCCAGTTTTGTATCTTCTCTGCAGAGTTAGACAGGGAGAGGAGACAGAACAACCACACAGATAAAATTGGCTTATCCACTGAGAATATAGTTTTGTTTGGGTTTAGGAATTAAAAGTATCCCTTTATTTTTGAAGTAAACCTATGAAGTCGGGCCAAATGATTAAAGTATGAATAATTCTTCCATGGATTGTATTTCAAGCAGTGCAGCACAGGATTTATAAGATAAGGTTCTTCAGATTCGCATCCATTTGACAAGCAGTCCTTTCTAATGAATAGGAGTATGATATCTTGGTTAGTCATCCTGGAAATACCAGGAGTTTAGAAGTCGAAGTTGAAGCGGGAGGGAATCCTCGGCTTGGTTGCTTTACAGCCGGGACGCCGCCTGCAGAACCGCTTTGCCCGTGGGCTTCCCCACAGTCTACTGGGCAGCCCCTCCCACTGGGGACCCGCGCTCAGCTGAGCCCCGCCCCTAGCACCGAGGCCTCCCGCCTCGTCCAGGATCCGCTGGGTCCCTGGCAACGGAGGGGGAGATTACCGACTCCAAACTGACCTTCCCTCCGCCTATGTACTTTCCATGGAGAGGTCTGGGTAGCCTTGGGAGATAAGAGTGAAGGTTTAGAAGCTCTGCATGCACGGCTCAACTTTCTATCCCAGTTAATGGCTTTACTTGAAGCGAAAGCAGGCAGGAGGCTAGACAAATGATTGTTCTCTTTGTGCACCTTGCTTCAAGCGCGTTAACGGCAAAACCAGAGTTCTCCACTCCCCCAGAATCCCAACCACGACCCACCGCGCCAAAGAACAGGGCTGCCTAGCCAACCAACATACTGGTTTAAGTTATGATATCCTGACTTTATGATGGGTTTAATCAAGCTGTAACCCCAGACTAGCCCTGTAGTCTTAGTGGTTAAGAGTGTCTACACTCGTTTAAACCGTGTGGCAGTGGGTGGCAACCTCAGCAGCCCAGGTGGGTGAGGAAAGATGGGCTGCGATCGATCGGGACCTCCTTCCAGCCTCGCCCACCAGCCCTCCCTTCCTTTGCCGTCCCCTCCCCTCCCGACCCCGGCGCAGAGGGAGCGACACAGCCAACTATTCATTCTTTCTCAACAAAGGGAGAGAGGGAGGGAGACGTGGTCAGCAGTCACGGGCTGGCTCCTTCGCTTTCTTTGCGAACTTCCCAAGAGATTAGCGCAGAGACTCTCCTCTAAGCCTTGGTTCCAGCGGAGGCCCCTGGGCCCTCGCTCCTCCCCGACCCGGGTCGGCCACCGGCGCGGCGGAGAGGAACCGGACCTGGAGGGTTGTGGACCGGGGTGGGGTGGTGGCCCGGGGTGGGGGGCCGGCCGAGCAGCCAGGACCCGAGGGGCTGGGGGCAGTGGCGGGCAAGGCCAGCGCCCGGCCAGATGCCGCTCAAGGGCTAAGAGCAGAGATGCTCCCCGCAGATCGCGGAGCGCCGCCCGCCGCGGGCCACGTCCAGCGCGGTTGGAGAGCAGGGAGAGCGCGAGTCGGGTCCCCACGCAGCCACCCTCCGCCTGCAATGCCAGCTCTGCCGGGAAGCACTCGCACGCCGGCTGGATGTGGCCCGGAGCCCAACTTTTCTCCACCAAACTTCCCAGCCCGCTCCTCCTGCGGCGAGTGGCCCAGGCATCCGGGGAGGAGGAGCAGTCCGCGGCTCCATTCAAATCAATAAGTTTGTTTTAAGTCTAAGTGCCTTAAAGGGTAAGCTAAAGTTATCTTGAAAATCTGCTGCAGAATTCATTGCCAGATGATAGTAGATGAAGCTTAACATGCAAAAGAAGTTTCTTACACTTCTTTCCTCTAGGCATTTCACAAACTGAGAGAGAAAACCTGAACAAATTCTATTCTTTACCACCAATCTTTCAAATTTAATTTAAGACTATTTACATGATGTAGCACAATTCTGACAAATTATTACCTTTAACATTTTTAAGCTAATAAAAAAATGCCAAAACGACTGCATGAAAAACATGTAAAAGTTGGGCAGAAAATTCCTGAACATGGGGTTGACAATAACATTCACTTAGGTGCCAAGTTTTTAGCCTGCCAAACAAACTACTGTATCTGTAATTCTCCTCTCAGTGCCAATTTAGTGTTCTCTAACATGAATATTTTGTTGAGGGAGGCCAAGGATTGGCTAGTATATCCTGATTTCTGGCCTTGAAGGATGAAGTTAATTTATCTGGCACAGGTAAAATATTTCCAAAAGGGAAAACCCAATTATTGATAACTATACACTCATAACCAGGAACTGTAGTCATACTCACAAAAACCTAGAATCAATTTTAATTAATTATCCATAAAGGGAGAGAATCAGAATTTGAAGTATCTACAGAAGCTCACTGCTGTCAAATATCTCCCATAAAGAGAGGGGAGAAAGAAGGAAAGAAATTAACTTCTTCATAATAAATCCAAAATAACACATTTTCAAAATCTGCTGAATTAGACCACACTCACTTAGGAGAAAGACAACTACTTTTTAAATCACTGTAGCCTGACTAATTTCTTCACCTTCCCCAGGAGTCTACACCCTAGACCAGGTTAACAATCCACTAAGTTTCTAATATGTAACTTGTACAAATACTCTGAGCTTATCATAAAATTTTGCAACTAAAGCAACCAAGCAACTTGCACACTTTATGTAATGTGATTTCGACTGTTAGGAAACTGACCCAATAACATCGGTTAAAAATCTAGGTTTCTAGAGATACAAATTTTGTCAATATTGTTAAAATTCTGTAATAAGATATCACCTAATGCTGTAATTCATTTATTTTAAAAAGATTAATATATACTGTTTACTTCTTACTGTTAACTCTTTTATACTTCCAAAGGTGTCAATGAGTGTAATTAAAAATCCAACCATCCTTTAATAAAATCTATCAAAATTCACTACCATGCATCTTTGTGTTTGCCACCTATCCTGAAAAGAATTTCTGGGGGGAAAAAATGCTCTGAAAAGTTTGTTACTAAAAAGATTCATTCATTTCCTCGTATCGAATTAACAAATCCTTGTTAAAATCTAATGGATTATACCATGTGTCAAGCGCTCACTCAATGGCACAAACCAGTCTCCCACATACCCTTCTCTTTTTGGAAAACTAGGAAGAGAGTAAACTGCTGCCTGTTGTTCCATCCTAACACTTAAAGCCCACTTCTTAATAAATGATCACTTAAAATTTTACGCTATTTTCTCCCTAAACAGTATGCCTCCCAAAATCATTAATCTAGTATACCAACTACTAAAGACGCAAATGATTTTTTTTTATCATTAGTCTTTTCACATAATTCAAACTCATTCATCATCACATCTTCCCCAACGTTTGCCAAGTCACAAGACACACTACTGTTTACAATCCCTCCCATCTGCCCCCTGCCAATACATATCAAACACTCGAGTCACTTGGCTTAAACCACAGTCCCCCCAAATAACCCTCTCAAATTTTAATTTAGATCCAAGACGCACTCATATTCTGATTCACATCTTTAATGGAAATTTTTTTAATCACCTGACTTTCACAGGGGTAAGTTCAGCCTTTTGATGCAGCCAGACCTTCCAGCTCTCATACTTTCACACTGGCACCCCAAATCTGACAGTACACTTTTTCATTCCGCACTTGCGGACGTATTTGCAATCTGCGGTGGTTAGTAACCTCTTGGCTTTCAAAGACAACTGCCCACTTTAAATTCATTCAAGTACTAGTATCCATTTCTATCATTTTGTTGCTACACACGCCCCGTTCTTTAAGGTTGAGGCCTACTAATTGTCCCTCCTGCCTGGAGTAGGAAAAGAAATGAAACAAAATATATTTACCACCATTCTCTTATAGGCAACTATTAAACGGCTCTCCTTTTTCACTGCACACTTCGCCCAACACACAATATAACGCGGTATCATACATGTCCATTGTTCAGGACTTCTGTAGGGCATCTACACTAATGGTCTCCCAAAATCAAACAAGACTTCAGATAACGCTGCGGGGAGGAGGGAGGGGCATATGATTCACCAAAAACTGCAATGAAGAGTAATGGAATATTTTCAGCAGTGGCATGCTAAAACTAATAGCTTATTGCAAAGGGGTACTGCTAAGCAACCATCACTGTAGCAATAAATCCACCAGCCCGGGGCGCACCGCGGAGACTCACCTCCCGGCACAGGGTTCGGGTCTCCGGCCGGGGCTCAGAGGGGCAGCGCCGTCCGCCCTGCACCCCTCGCGTCGCAGCTGCCGCAGGACGTGGCCCGGCAGCGGCAGGCGCAGCTCTGAGCGGGCGGCGCGCACTCCGGCCCTCAGCTGGTGATTTGCAGCTTCGCGGCCCCACCCCGGCGAGCCGATTCGTGCGGCCCCGCGGAACCCCCCGCGACATTTACATTCGGTGACCTCGCCTAGACTGCTCCGCCGGGATCTGAGAGTCCGGCTTTCCAAAATATTTCACCCCAGTAGCCAGTTTTCAAGTGTAGACCGACAGAGTTTCACTTCTTTACTGAAGCCCTCTCCAGAGACGACCTCGCCTCCACTCCTCCCCCTTCCCCGCGTTATTTAATTACCCAGCAGATCTGCTTTGCTCGTGGGCAGACACCTGGCTGGCTTTAGTAAAAAGGGCTTTGATGAAACAAAGACCCAGGTAACCACAAGAGAACAAGCCATGGGAACGGGCAAATCAATCACACTCGCATGGACTTACTGAAAGCGAAGGGGGAGGTGGCCACGGCGCTTCAGTACAGGTGGTTTGACAGAGAGAAAAACTGGCGCCCACTGGAGGATCCACTCTATCAGATATGAGACCTGGACGAAGCCATAGAAATAGTACACGGGTAGATAAACTGGCCGATGGACTAGAGCCCCCAAACAGATCTATTATACAGTGCATTTATTAACTATATCAAAAGGCTGCTATCGTACATTGGGGGACAGAACTGTCTGGTTTTCCAGTAAATGATGCTGGATCAACTGACTATTCACACGACCAAAAAGGAATCTTGACCCCCTACTTCACCCCCCAAGTCAATTCCAGATAGATTTTAGATCTAAATGTTCAAGGTAAAATAATAATACCGTTTTAGTTTGTTTTGCCACTATCTATAGGCCTATAACAAACACCACAGACTTCGTAATTTACAAAGAATAAAGGTTTATTCAGTTCATGATTCTGGATAGCCAAGGTTGAGGGCTGCATCGCTGAGGGCCTGCTTGCTGGTGGGGATGCTCTGAGAGGCCTGAGGTGTCTGTCACAGGGCATAACGTGGAAAGAGAGCAAGAATGCATGTCAGCTCTAGTCTTTTCCTTTTTCTATAAAACCACCAATATTCAACCATGGGGGCACCACCCTTATCTAATGCTAATTACCTCCCAAAGGGTCCACTTGTTGATACCGTAGTTGAATTTCCTCACTCTCTTAGTACCACTGCAATAGCAACCAAATTTCAACGCATGAGTTTTGAGAAGATGTTTTAAGTCACAGCAAACACTAGCCAAAGAAAATACCAGAAAATATCTCTGTGACCTTCAAGTAGACAAAGACTTCTTGAACACTTACAGGACTACCAAGGAAGAAAACAGATCACTGGACAATATGAAGACCAAGGGCACCTGTTCATGGAAAGACAGATGCCACTAGTAAAATGGCAAACCACAGAATAGGAAAATACGCTGCAATACGAACATCCGAAAAAGGACTTGTATGGGGCCAGAAGATGGCATAGCAGTTACTTGGCTGGACTCGCACATGGCCAATTGCAATTTGAGTTTAATCACTCAGACAAGTAGGTTGAAATTACAATGTGATCTCATGGTGCATCTAACAGAATGGCTAAAATTTAAAAATATGACAATAATGCTAGCCAAAATTAACTTAAAAAAACTTTTTTTTTAGTTTTTTTTTTTTTTGCCATAGGGTGTATGTGCTCACTGATAGAGAGGAAAAGTGAGAAGTCACCTCCCAGGAGGGATGGCCACATCACAATCCCTTCTCCTCCATTCTCCTCTAGGGATTTTTGGGTATGCATGCATATGTGCCTGACAAGTTTTGTTTTGTTTTGTTTTGTTTTAGATTTGTGCCATAGAGTGCATGCACTTCCCAGAGGAAACAGAGAGAGACAGTGAGACAGAAAGTGAAGAATCACTCCGAGGTGGGGGGTGGCCATGACATAATCCCTTCTGAATGAACTATTGATACAGCTATATTCAACAAGATGAATGCATCTCACATCCATGATACTGAGTGAAAGAAGTTGGACACAAATGGGCATGTACTACGTAATTCCATTTATGTAAACTTTTTAAAAATAGTCAAAAGAAACCTACGGTGTTAAATGTGAAGATGGTGCTAATCATAAGGGTAGGTAGTGATGGAGAGAGAGGGAGCATCTGGATAGAAGGCTCCCAGATACTGGTTTAAGTTATGATATCCTGACTTTATGATGGTTTAATCAAGCTGTAACCCCAGACTAGCCCTGTAGTCTTAGTGGTTAAGAGAGCCAAATCCTACATGGCCAACAGTGGTTAGAATCTCAGCTCTGATAGCTTGCAAAACATGCAGGACGTGTGAGTGCACATGCCCCAAATCCCTGTAGGAGGAAAAACTGGAAGAAAGGGATTGTGGAATGGCCACACACCATTGAGGGGGCTTTCTCTCTCTCTCTCTCTCCCCATTTCTTTCTGGCAAGCATACATGCCCTCTGACAATTAAAAAATGTAACCCCATCATAAGTCACGGAGCATCTGTATTCTCTTTGTTAATCTAAGTGCTAGTTATTTGAGTGTATACCATTTTATAAAAATTAATTAAATGAACTAATCTTAGAAAAATTGATTTGTGCATAACTTTGCAAACATGTTTTATTCTAATAAGACATTTTAAAATTGTGCCATATTGGTTATATATTTAATATTATTACCACCCTAATCTTTTTTTTTTTTTTTTTGAGAGGTTTTCGTTATAGGGCGTGTGCACTCGCCAGACAGACAGAGAGAGACATAGAGACAGAAAACGAGAAATCACCCCCCAGAGGGGATGGTCACGTCGCAATCCCTTCTCCTCCATTCTCGTCTCAGGATCTTGGGCACGCACGCACACGTGCCTGGCGTGAGTTTTAAGCCACCGGGTCCGGGACGCGAACCACGGTCGACGGTCGACTACGTGGGAGTCCAGCGACATAGCCATTATGCTAACTGCTGGTTCCCACCACCCTAATCTTATGAACAAGTTCATATGATTCTAAGCACAGCATCCTTAACACAAATGTCTACATTTTCCTTATCAGTGTTGTTGTAGGTTCGTCTTTATCCTCCCAACATTATTATAAGTGCACATCTTTTATTTCTCAGCATGTTTAATGCAGTGAATGTCAAACAGTCCAGCTGGTACATTTCTAAACTGAAGTATCAGAAATGCATTTACTGACCTTCTACTACCCCGAGCATTACTGGGAACGGTGGTAAAACTTACCTTGTTTTTTATTTTTTATTTTATTTTTTTTTTTTGCTTTGCTTTACTTATTTCTTCCATGAATACAAGGGAAGAGACAGAGTGAGAAAGACAGCATCTCCAATAGAGTCCTGATGCCACAGTCCACCCGTGGCCAGCTCCAGGTCATGGCACATGTGCCGGGCACGTTTAGAGAGATCTCTGGATGCAAACCCAGAACCTTCCCATGTGAATCGGCCTTGCAGAGTGTCACATCTCAGTGCTATGCTACTGCCCAGCACAGATTTTGGGTTTTCTTGATTTTCCAAGGCCCCTGATCACCTGCCATATGCAAAATATCTACTTCGTAGGGCATTATGAGAAGACATAGCAGTAAAGGTAGAAGACAACTCACACACAGAGTAACTTGGGCAAGTCATTCTTCCACTCATTTCCTTATGAGTTCATAAGTGTTTACCTTATAGGGGTCCTACGAGGAGTCAAGGGAATCATGGATGTGAAAGTACTAGCACATAGAACGTGTGTAAACTATCTCTGGAATTGAGGACGCATTCTATCATTCACCTTTACAATAGCCCTGTGAGATAGGAGGTCTCTCAATCTTCATTTTATTTTAGAAACAAATTCAGAAAGGTTACATAAATTCATTCAATAAGTACTTGTAGCACGCCTACTATGTGTCAAGATGCACAGGTAGCGAGACGTGGGATCGGAATTTGAATGAGGTATTCTCTTTTCAAGTTCAGTGGGTTTTTCCACCAAGGCACAACCATATTCACATCTGCATTCCCTGTGCTTAGAACATAGGTGTTAATTGCTAATGAGAATAACTTTGAAATAAGATCTTGGTAGAACTTTTTGTTTGTTTATTTAAGATAAAGTGTGTGCACACACCTGTGAGTGAGAGACAGAGAGAGAGAGTGAGAGCACAGTACCCTCCATGGGTCTCGTCACAGTGCAATCTTCTGTCTCTAGTCCTCCAGCCAGTCAGATCTTGAGTACTTGTACACATGCCTGGCATTTTTAAAGAATTATTTGATTTAACTTTATTTATTTATTTATTTGATCAAAAAGGGATAGAGTAAGAGAAAGAGAGAGAGGGAAAATGAGAAAGCAAGCCGCCAGGTCCAGGACTCAAACTGCGGTCGGCCATGAGGGAGTCTGGTGCCCTTAGCCACCACACCATCTGTCGGCCCCACATGCCTGGCTTGTTTCAAGCTGACTGGGCTAGGCATCTGAACCACAGTTTCCATGTAGGATCCAGCTTCTCTTGAGCAGTGCATTACCACTGCAGTGTAGAGCCAGCCCATGGGAGTAATGTTAATGTAATTTTTTAAATTAGGTAATACATGTTTCACGAATTAAAACTATATATATGTAAAATGATATACAGTGAAAAGTTCCCTCTTGCCACTGTGACCCATCTGCTCAGTTCCCTCTCCCACTGCAGAGAAGCACTGCTATTAATATTGTGTGTACCTAGCAGTTTCTCTGTGTGTGTTCTTCTCCCCTACCCTCCACAAACAGTAACATAACATGTTCATCATTCTACACTTTGCTTTTTTTTTCTTAAGAATAATTTAATTTTAATTTTGACCAGAGGGACAGAGACAGAGAGAGAAAGTGAGAAAGCAAGCTGCTAGGTCCGGGACTTGACCGTGGTTGGCCAGGTGGGACTCCAGCTCTCTTAACCACCACACCACCTGCTGGCCTCTACACTTTGGTTTTTTTTAATCATTTAACAACATATCATTTTTTTTTCTTTTTGGAGAGGTTTTTTGTTGTTGTTTTGTGGTGTTTTTTATTTTTAT